TGGAAGAATGTCAGGTTCTGAGTCTTCTGCTGTCAGAGTAGATAGAACTGGGGTGTGGAAAGATGCTAAATTTGACATGCTAATGCATCCAACTTCATTACTTAATTCATGGCATGTTGTTTTCCAAGTGTGTTTATCCTGGTGGAGCCTTGGTCACATGAGTTGTTTTCCAATTGATGTATAGATAGACAGACCTTAGAGAGAGGTTGATAGATTCATAGAAGGGTTGGTAGTAGATAAAACAATGTTGCCTTTTACTAGCTTTTATATCAGGGGGAAAAACTGTAGGATTAGGATTTTAATATGCCCTGACATCATGTTCTGATTTGAGTGAAGACAAAACTAAAGCAGTCTACATTCAAGCCAATTAAACTTGCCCCCAGGCAGTATTTAGAGAATGAGTTTGTAAGAAAATAAAATCTGTGTTGCATATACCACAAACTGCTTGTCATTTTATAGATATCTTCATCCAAATCCATGTAAGCAATTAGCAATTCTTCCTTGGCAGTACATAAAATTATTTCATCTTTATATCAAATGAGAGCATCAATGGTTTGGGTGCCAATTTTATGCTTCTGGTTCATATTCTATATCCAGCTTGCTTAGTCTTGGGCTGAAACCCTTAACTCCAGGCCATGCAGTCATGTATATGTCTAGTGAGTCATACTGCATTCAGTGGTGCTAACTCTAAAGGGATATAGGATTGCAACCAAGCAGTGCATATATTGGGGGGTGGGACTCTTAACTTTTGATATGGGTAATACATACAAATTAGAGTTGCTTTTATCTCCTTTGCTTTCTTTTTATTTTGTGAAGGAGAGGAGAATTCCAGAAAGCTTCCATGACATATACAGAAATCATTTCCTGTCCAATACATCAAGCAGATGCAGTAGGTTCACTTGGCCATCATACGTTAGTCTTATTCAAAAGAGTTGAGTGGCATATCTGCCAAGCTGATATTTTTCTATATTTAAGCCCCTTGCAAGTATGTACAGTAACTCAGGTTACACTTTATTTTAGAGTTTAACATACTTGGATATAAATGAGATTTATTGCAATTGATAGCCTGTGAACAGTTTTAGAATTTAGCTCTGAGCTCAGCTACAAATATCATGCAGTACAATTCTGTACATATTTAGGAGCTATGCAGACAGGCAAAAAGAGGGGCTTTGAGGGTGATTTGTAGGCATAGTGTTTAGACAATGCATGCCTAAAAGTCACCAGGAAAGCGCCCTCTAGCCATTGTATGCCAAGAAAAGCCGTTCCAAAAAGGATCCACTTTTTTTTTTTCCCCTTCGGTGAAGATGCGCACCTTGGCATGTGCGTATGTATGCAGCGACACCGGTGCACCAAAAAATGGCTGTATAAATGCATAGTCACACGTGAGGTGGAAATTGAGTTGGCAATCCAGAGCACGCACCCTATGATGCAGACTTTAATTTAAAGTGCCCTATACTTCCAGGTGTAGATGCACTAGCTCAAGTGTGCTTGAATATTAGAACCCAGACCCTAATTGTAACTCACATGCTCCCTAGCAACTGTCCTCTGTTATGACAATAAATGCATTCTGTTGCATGTACATTTGCTGTCATCATGCACATTAGTTTGCCTGAAAGAGGCTTTTGTGACCTCTTCTGTGCAGGTGTGCATAAGACCTGCACACCACTTCCTGGCATGATGGGGGGGCTCCTGGAGTAACGTTTGTCTGTGTGTCCTGTTGATCATGTCCCTTGCATGACCACTAGCTACATGTATCCAGTCTGTTTTGTGGAGGATGACAGAGTAGGTGTCTTTTCAGTTGAAAAACTTGTTCCTTCACCCCAAGGATGGTACAATCAGACAGTGGCACCTGTCTATGGCTCCCACTGCTTGCGGGAACTGAGATCAATGAATCTTTGTATGATATGTGGGTGTATGATAGGGCCTGGGCACATGCCCAGGCATGCCAAACTTCAGTCTCCTTTGTACACAGAGAGTGACAGACTGTATACTAGCCTATGACAGGTCCGGGAAGCTGCGGATTGGGGCCGAGGTAGCCGCACTCCTCAGCCCCAATCCGCAGCTTCTCAGGCCCTGGAAGGAGCGCTAAAATAGCGCTCCTTCTGCAAGATGCCGAAGGTGCACAGCAAGAGGCGTTGGGCGCACCTTTGGCTTCTCCTCCGCTGCAGCGTGTGCAGACGCTGTGGCGGAAGTACGTCATCAGAGCGCTGGTCGTGCGGAGCAACAGGCGCTCCAATGATGTGTTCGGGAAGGGGTTGGGGCGCCCAGCGTGAGGCTGCCCCTCCCCTTCCTTGCCTCGAAGACGGCGCAAAGCGCTGTATGCTTCCCCCCTGTGTTTCATGAAGCTTAGTTACTAAGAAGTATGTTTAGGATTTTATGTTGCTGACTTGAATCCCATTTTGAGAGAAAGGTGGAATGTAAATATATATATATATTTCTTCAGACAGTTAAACATTCAGGTCACTTTCAAATTTTTAATATGAGATAAGTGTTATACTGAGATTCATGGAGCTTTGTTTCATAATTGTGCATGTATTGTTTATACATATATATAAGAATGCATATATATTGTACTCAGTCAGAGGAAGCATAGGTGGTTTTCCAACCCACTCTTCCCTTAGGTCCTAGGTTTTGAAACCCCTTAGAGTCAGACATTGATGAAATAGCCAGCTCTGTGTAGAGATGGCCTCTAGCATGACATGATAGACATGTTTAAATATTTGAAGGGATGTCATATTGAGAATGGAGTAAGCTTGTTTTCTGCTGCTCCAGAGACCAGGACACAGGGCGATGGATGCAAACTACAGGAAAAGAGATTCTACCTAAACATTAGGAAGAACTTCTTTATGAAAAGAGCTGTTCAGCAGTGGAACATGCTGCCTTGGACTGTGATGGAGTCTCCTCCTTTCGAGGTTTTTAAGGAGAGGCTGGATGGCCATTTGTCAGGAGTTCTTTAATGGTGTATTCCTGCATGGAAGGGAGTTGGACTGGATGGCTCTTGTCATCTCCTCCAGCTCTTTGATTCTATGACTGTATGAATTTAGCAGGAGGTGCACACTGTGAGGCTGTCTCCTCCTCTGGCAAAGAGAAGGACAAGCATGTACAGAGGATGGCTGGAATTTCCCAGTTCCATTTGTCACCCTCATTTCTTGTCCTGGTGCAACAAGCTTGAGGATACCTCAGTGTGCAAGTGGCAAAAGTGTCATTGTACAAGTGGTTTGACACCATAAAATTGTGATGATTTCCAGAGAGCTAATATTTGATACTAGATTTACTAAACTTGCTAGAAAAATATGAAAATTGATTGTTTCAATGTCAACTGAAAAAGGATAACATATAAATGTACCCACAAATGGTTATGGTAACTCAGTATTTAAAAGCTCATATGTTGTTTGGATTGCGCTTCAACAGAGGTGTGTTAGTTGCTAATGAACAAGTATTATAGAATCCTAATTGCTGAAGTAAAGTAATCCATGCGACCCCTTGACAAAGGTGTATAAAATGTCTTAAAACTGTAATCTATAAAGTAGTGGTTTTATTTTTGTAGTGCTGAAGTTTTGGCTTTGTTAAATCAGTGAAAAACTGTCTGATGACACTTGTCCTGAAAGCTATTATTTCTGTTTCTTGATTGTTTTATTATTATTTCATCCTGTGGTACCAACTGTTCTATACTGGAATCCCTCTTTTATATAATGCTGAGTGAACATTTACCATTCTGCCATCTTCATAACATTTGTCTCGACCTCTTTGTCTTTCCTGCCACACATTGACTAGATGGCTTTTCCTCGCCTCAGTCATGGATTTCTCTCTGACCAGCATATTTTTAGCCGACGTATCCTTAAGGTAGAATTGCTTTTAATCTTCTGGCTTGCTGTGTTTTCTTGTGAGGTTGTTTATTTTTTCCTTTTTAATTTCCTGATATAAGAACTGATAATGTCTCTTTCACTTCTTTTACTCTTCTGTTCTTTTACATTCTAAGAGAGTTTTAGATCAAAAACAACTGAAGTGCCATGACAACCAAAATCAGACTTATTTCCCATTTTAACAGCACCAAGACAGTAATAAAGCATTCACAGGGAATTATTAGTCCACACAATGATTTGAAACTATCACTCATTTTACTTAAAACTAATCACTTTACATCATCATACAAAATACATCATACAGAATACAACATTTGCTTTCTTTCTTGAAAGCAGACTTCTCTTTTCATATCCATAGAATCACAGGTAGCAGGCTTCCCTGTAGATAAAGTATTATGTCTAATTTGCCACTGACACCTATTGCATCTTTTCAACAATGATAATTCTGCCTGTGTTTCTTTAGGTCCAACATTTCTACATACAGTACTTTGAAACGTATGAAAATCTAAAATTAGTACTCACAAAGAGCAAATATTGCTTGAGATTGCAAATGGTGACTCACATGACCACATACAACAAAAAAATCCCATTGCGTAGAATTGTGACAGATCATGGATGAGATTGGACTAGAATTTTCTGATATTTGGTTTTGTATTTGTATCATTCTGTTGTGAGAGTCACTACTTGTAGTCAGCAGTGGGGGATTCCCAACACAGACTTGAGATCTTAGCCACAGTGTATGAGAATCATGTGCTAGTCTTTCTTCCTAAATGCTTTGAAGTCTCTCTCCTCTGCCCTAGTCACTGTCTCCAATGTTTAAAGCTCTGTAGATGAAAAGTCTAAACTACTCCTTTTATTTTACAATTTGTTGTTGTTGTGTGCCTTCAAGTCATATTCAACTTATGGCTACCCTAAAGTAAATCCATCATGGGGGTTTCTTGGAAAGATTAGTTCAGAGGGAACTTGTCATTGCTTTCATCTGAGGCTGAAAGAATGTGACTTGCCCAAGGTTACCCAGTAGGTTTCCCTGGCTGAGCAAGGATTTGAATCCTGGTCTTCAGAGTCCTAGTTCAACAATCTTACCATACAGTACACTCTCTTTACAAATTTACTCTTTCTTAATTCACTGTACCTTTATGGCTGAGCAGGGATTTGAACCTTGGTTTCCAGAGTGCTAGTCCAACACTCAAACCATTATGCCACACTGGTTCTCTTTACAACTTTACTCTTTTTTAATTCACTGTGCCTTTATGAAAAATTTACCCAGGCCATAAACCAAGACTGGTTGAATTTTTAACTTTTTGAATTGTATTTCTAAATTATGATTTTAGCTTAGCCATTCACCATAAACTCATCTTAATATCATAATTCCATGAGTCCTGTTTTTACACTCAGATAAACCTAAGTGGATTACTTCTATGTGTCATGTTCTGAATTTCATGCATTGTACATAATATTGAGACAATTACTGCACACAAGAGTTTCAGACTACAGAATGTCCCTAAGCTTTTGTGTCTAAGAGTTAAAAGCATGACAAATTGTCAATTTTCTGTTTTTTAGTGTAATAGCTTTAGTGTACTTGTTTCATGAACATTGTAAGTGAGATACTCATGAAATAACAGATTTTTTAAAAATGTATTTACTGTAAAATCTAATAGAGTTCATTTTTATTTTATACTTACTGCCATTAATCAATAAGGAAATTTTCCAAGCTCGAACTTTTCAAATATGTCATGTGGCTATCACAGTTAGGGTTGTGATTTATAGCAAGATAACATTAAATACAAGTCTATCACTTAGACATCTTGCCCAGATGTTATGAAGAATTTTCTAATCAACTCATTTTCCAGGGGGTTTGGTGTGATTTCCATATTTTAAGCAATCTAGATTCTACAGTAGCTCATAATCCAGGCTATGATAGGTGACAGCCATGACCATCCAAATGATAGATCTTGGAGGCCTAGTTTCAATTCTTTGCTTAGCCAAGGACATGATAAAGGAAACTATTTTCCCTGCTCTCTGCTCCGCAAACAAGAAGCAATAATACCTTGTATTAGACTTTAGGTGCATCAGACTCAGAGAAAATCTCTCCATGTGGTTGTGATAAGGACGCCTAAGCACTTTGTACATGAAACAAATTTAGATATAGCATCATCTTACAGATATACAAAGTGTTTAAGAGTTCTTGGTTCCACTAAGTTATAAGCTGTTTTAGCAGCTTCTCTAAATTTCAAACATAGCTTGCCATTTAAAGACTAGAGGCTGCTATTTAAAAGAGGGAAATGAAGGACTTCACAGGGACATACCATTAGTTACATAAGGCCCTGGTTTGTGGCCACATGACTGGTACATCCATTATGTGTTCAGTGTATTCTTTATACATCCATCATTGTACCAGTTTTTGCTTACAAATTTTTGCCAGTAAACATACAGGTGTCATGAGCATGGTGTGTGATGTATGCTGGCATTAGAATTTTGTGTGTACACTTGCTGTGACATCCAAACCCTTTCCCCTTTAAATTTTCTTCTTACATTTTCTACCAATGTTATATTAATTGTTCATAAATGTCTCAATTGGTCCTTTGGTGTATTATCCTAGTGAGCCATTAAATAGATATAGTCTAAGCAGGCTTCATATTGTGACTCTCTGGATGTTATGGGACTGCATCTGCCATCAGTCCTAGCCAACATAGGCAATAGTAGGGGCTACAATCCAGTATCATCTAATGTGCTGCAAATTGCTGTGCCCTGGTAGAAAAGCACATGATACAGAAGCCTTGCTTCAAGCTAGCAGATCAGGATCGATTAAGTACCTTAATGGGGGATTCCCAGGAAATGCTGGTGTCCCTGAAAGGAAAACAAAATATTAATATTATACATGCATATCTAGATCTTCTGGATGCTACAACATACTGTATGTCAAATTGAAATAGAATACTACCTCAGACTATGCATTTTAGCATGTTTTTGAAGTTTATTTCCTTAGATACAGTGAAATAAAGCATCCAGTTTTACATTTGTTGGGTTTGACCTCTGTTTGTTTAATATATGAACTTAAGAATAAAGAATTCACATGCCATTAACTTTCTTGAAGAGAAATTTCTCTAAAATCTAGATATTTATGTGTGACTGTAAAGTTGATCCTAAAACCATGATTTAGATCCATTCTTTCTTAACAGTAGTGCTATGGAATTCTAAAGAATCAGAATGTATTTTGCATAGTCCATGTTATAGTAACCTATTTCTCACTGGAAGAGGCAAGACCTTCTGAAAACAAGGTAGCAGTAGAATCTAATGTTCAGAAACAGAAAACAACAGAATACTGTCCTTCTGTAGATGCACACAAAATAGGAACTGGGGAAATAAAAGGAGAAGCACTATTATCTAATGTTAGATATTGTAGGTTTAGAATAGTGAAATAACACCTAGGCTACATTTATTCAGCATCAATAAGTTCTCGTGGCACAGAAAGACTGGTCAGCTTGCACTGTTTTGGAATTTTATTGTTGTAACTCAAAACATAACCAATTCCTTTACCTTGTTTCCTGCCACCTTTCTCACTTTCAGATCTAGTCCATCCATTAGTGATTAATTTTCTTTTCCCATTGTAATTATTTTCTTTAAACTTCTTGTAGGGAGATCCAGGTAAAGATGGTGCTGCGGGCCCACCAGGTCCTCCTGGACAGCCGGGTACAAGAGGACCACCTGGAGACACAGGCAAAGATGGCCCAAGCGGTCCCCCAGGCCTCCCTGTAAGGCGTAGTGAATAGCAAAGATAGCCTTCTGTACTAAACTGCATGTTGCGGGGGAAATATACTCCTCGTGATGCATGCATCTCTGATTTTACCTTTATTGTATGATGGAGCTGATTGAAGGAAAGTTAGTAGTGGAGGGGAAGCCTCATTTATCAGTATCTTGAAACCAGAGACACAACTCACCATCAGACTGGTAGTGTCTTAAAGCATTCAGTAAACAACACTTTGTGGCAGCCTGCTTTAAGATGAGTATCTTGTGCTCTGTGATGACCTTGCTCTGAAACTGTCCACTGCCTGTCACTTGTAATTTCTAGCCATAGAGCAGGCTACAATTTTCATCAAGATTTAAGTTTTTGTTGCTACAAGAAGCAATCACCAGAGACAACCTAAAAGCTTTGCATAGATCTGTCCTGATTGGCAAGGAATGTGTGTGCGTGCGTGTGTGTGTACCCATGCGTATTTTCACAATTGAATTTTATTTAGTAGCCATTCTTACTGTGGCCTTGGAATAAACTATTAGAACTCTCTTGACAAATTGATGAATTGGAAGAATGGGAGATAACACAGTAATTATTTACCAAGCACTGAGATGAGATACAGTTCAGTGTTCAATACAAGCCAAGTTGTTTTAGATATATAGATACATACTGTCTTTATATGTGTCTCCATTAAGTTAATGGATAAGACTAATTTAAATCATTCATCAGGTCAATAGAGTAATGGGCTGTTCTTGTTACAAAAAACACTGTTTAAAAAATTAATGCCTTAAGCTTTTCTCCTTCGCTGTTGTGTTTTTAAGTAAGCTTTTGAAAAAGTGATTTTAGGAAGATTTTCATTGAATAATTTCACTTGAATAATTTACATTTGACTTTATTTAGGGAGAGAAGGGAGAGACTGGAGAATCTGGCATCATGGTTAGTATACAATCGCTGGTAATAAAACCAGCCCTAATGAATTGATCTTCACATATTAAGCATGGAATGCTTGTCTAATCTAGCTCAGATGTGTGGGCCTTTTCTTCTTTTCTGTGTCCAGCTTGCCTGTAATAACTTTAAAATTGCTTTCTCTGACTCCAGTTTTCTTCCTAATCACTATCTCTTTTTGGTATTGCATCTTTTTTGGTATTAGTCTGGGAATGAACTGATTTCTTACAGTTGTGCAAGTATTGGTGCAGACATGGGAGACATTCTTTCTTCTCTCTGAGTAGAAGGGTAACAGTCTAATGGATCCTCAAAAGACAAAACAGAGCCATGTTTCCACTTCTGTGCCTCAGTGGAAGCACCTGCACACATCACACCTAGACCATTATGATGTCTTGCATATCAGAGGCATATTTCCTATTTCTCATTTCAGCTTGTGCCCTCTGCTTAATTAATGGATGGGGTCATATGTTTCCACTCTTGATGGAACAGCACAGAGAGCTCTGTTAACTATGAACCTCAATGTTTTCTGCCCTCCTGCAGTCTATTGACAGAGTTTGGTTGTATTTGGCACTCCTTACCCTGAGTTTTGCCCTGTTGTCCAGTTCCAACTGAGGTTCCAGTTGGAATTCCTAGTTAATGCCACAAAATTCAGTGTTGTCATTTCACTCAAATCTTATGCCAGAATTTTACAGTACCTGTAATGGCTTTTAAAATTGAAGGTTAGTACAGATGGACAGAGACCTCTGTATATTAGGTCTCTTTTATTAACAAAGTAACACGTGATACAGCTAAAATCAGTGAACATGCAAATACTCCCCATGTACTGAAGGAGTACCAGGATACCCTCCTGCAAAGTGCAAAAGTCAATGAGAACCATTAAGAATCTTCACCATGTGAAGCAGCACTTTATGTTTCAGTACTCACTGGGGGGGGGGGAATAATTCTAGGAAAGGTGGAGGGAAGTAGAAAGAGGGGAAGGCTACATGCTATTAAGGAGGTCACGGATATGAATGTACAGGAACTAAGCAGAGTAGTAGAGGACAGGGAGTCATGACGATGTTTCATCCACACCATTGCCATGGATCCACAATGACTCAAGGGCAGTTAACAACAACAAAACACATGTAGGGCTACTTCACACATGCACTGAATGCATGAATGCTGGAGGGGAGGGCCTTAAGAGACACAGCAAGAGAGCTGGGTCTGCATTGCAAATCCACACTGCCTCTTTATGCATTTTATTGCAGGTTCATTAAAAACAGAAGGACTTAAGTTAGCCTCAAACAAGCAGGCAGCTTGGAGCAGCCTCTGGCCATTCCAGCCATAAGTGTTCCTTCAGTGGCATGAGACCACAGTGACCACACACCGTGGTCCTGAGGCCAGCTGCCACCACAGTCTGCAATGGACAGTGGTGGCAGCTGGCCTTTTTTGCACTCCTTTTGCAGCCGGGTTTGGGCCACATTAGTCGGCTGCAGTGCAACTTCTGCTTAATTCGGTGCCATGTGTCATCTGAATGCCACACCCCTGATCA